GAAAACGTAATATTTTATTTAGTTGTTATTGAGAAATATGCGGGACAGCTGTCTTTTCCGCCACGAGCTATTTTTATGCAACTTAAACTATTATATCTTAAATAAAAAGTTTGTTTAATTTCACATAAAGAATAAGGAAACTAAGAACAGATCGTAACTTCAGCTCAGTGTAGTTGATTAATTGACTTAAAATGCTTAATGTTAATCCAAAAAAGCCATAGCTTAATGTTAATCAAAAAAAAAAAAAAAAAAAAAAAAAAAAAAAAAAAAAAAACAGTTTTAATTGCAGATTCTGAGTATGTCAGTACAGCAATGCTTGACACACTATTGCCTCTCAACAGAAACACATTTCATAGAAAAGTACTTGAAATTCAATTATTGTGAAATCTTAACTGTTAAAGTCATAGTTCAGAAGAAAATATCTTTTTCTTTTTTTTCAATTTTTTTTCTCTTTTTTCTACGAACTTGCTTTATTGTTTTGCACACAGCAAATGCCAAATGAAACAAATGATGGAGAAAAAAATCTAAAGATATAAGTTTTTAAGTATACAACTTTTTTAAAAAAATATCATATGTAGGATCACAATCCATAAATTGCATAACAATGTTTGATTTACTAAATAAAACTTTTATACATTGCATCTATATACATGTATGCACTTTCGTAAGGAATTCACCATTTTTAAGTTCCAGTTGGATCATTTGCTTCATTGATATTTGAATCATAAAAATAATAAACATAAAAATAATAAATTTTTAATAAGGATTATTATTTTATTTTTTTAGAATACTTGAATAACTGAAGTGAACACCTCGAATAACTTTTGATCTAATGATCGGATTTTCACATACTAGAACTCAATCTTAATGGTACAAGTAGATGCAGAGCCTGACTAAAGCAGGGCCATACGGGGCAGTCACCCCGAGGCCCCACACATAAGGGGCCCCCAAACCGAATAGAAAATTCATTTTACATTTCCTTCTATAATGACTTTTTTTTTTTAAACAAAGTATCAGTACAGTGCAAAATCCATCAGTTTTATGTTAGCTTCTCCACTAATCTATCGTATGAACGCAATCCATATTTCGTAAATCCGTGGTTTTCTAGGGTGGAATTCATCTTAAATTTCCCAATTACGATGGACAAATTTGACCAATCAAAAGCCTGTATTTTTACATTTCCCAAAATGCGATATGTTAACAAAAATGCAGGCTTCTGATTGGCTTAATTGAGCCATCGTAATTGCGAAATTTCAGCCGAATTCCGCCCTAATGTCAGCAAGGATATGAATTTTTCGCAGCAAAATAAGAAAGTTAACAATCAGAAAACTGCATTTGGCATGATGGACATAGAATTGTCAGAAAATCAATAAAAAGGACAGAACGATATTTCGTCTGACCATGGGAGGGAGGGGGATTTAATAACTATTTTAGGTTCTAGTCAATTTTCTTGTTATTTATAACGAGGTGAAAAATTTAAATACCTTCTTTAAGTTCGGTCCTTCATTACTGAAAAAGTGAAGCAGAGAAGGGCCCCCAAAGAAGTTTTTGCCCCGGACCCCAATTAGGCTAAGTCGGGCCCTGAGTAGATGACCTCAAAAATGTTACATTAAGGACAACAGAACCACTATATGAATTTCATGACAAGATTTTTCACCGATTATCAAAACATTTAAAATTTAACGCATGCGCATTGAACGTTTTCAGTTATCGGATAACTCTTTATCCGTTTACCAATCGGGATATTTTACATCAGCGGTCGGTGCAAGACGGGTGCGGAGTTCGTATCGACCACCCTTCGCTGGGATTCGAATCCCGGGTCACCTCGAGGGGACCGCCTTATCACCTGAACCACCACGGCCCCTAGATCTACATCTTGTGAAATATTTTTTCGATACAAAATTATATGATTTTTATGCTATTTTTCATAAATGTTGCAATTTTCGACCGCATACCCGGATCTACCGGGTAATAAATCAAAATTATTCTCTGCCGGATAAGTAAAACTTTTTGCCCTTAACCTTCTGAGTAAAAGATTCAATTTTCGCCGGAAATCGGATTCCAGCAGCCAGCAAAATATTATTTTTACTCTATTCTAAAATTAACTAAAAACAGTACATATTTTGGTTATAGTTACACTTTTGAAACCTGTTTCTATAAAACTAAGTAACTAAAAATCATAATTTCAAAAATTTTAATTAAAAGGAAACAAAAATATATGCAACGAATGCCAAAATTAATGAAGAAAAGATTTTGAGAAACCGTAAGAAATCGACATTGATGCTCAGTTAATCTTGTCAATTAATACAACTGATATTTTTGATAATCGGTGCTGTTTTAATATTAAACAATTTTACCAATATTAGTATTTAATATATATCTAAGTATTGTGATCATGGCCTTTTTTCATGGCAATCCGAAAGTGAGTAGTACTGGAGAAAATGACTTGATTATGGTAAATTTTAACTATGAGTAGACCGCGAGCAATGGCAACATACAGAAAGATTCTGAATATAATCAATCTTTATTTTGATTAAAAGCACTTCTTAAAACGTTTTTTGCTTAATCTAATAACGTAAAGTCACCGGGAAGAGCTATGAATATTGATGATAAATAAATAAATAAAAATTGGTATTATGTTAGTTTTATCTTTAATGTCGGTATTTTCCTTTCAATATTAAGCATGAGTTAGTAGTGTTGATTAAATCCAATTTATTTATTATTTTATTTTTATTTTTTTGCCCCTTACAAAGAGTGGGTTATCAGCCAGTCTTAAATTTATTTTTCAGGAAAAATTGTGAATATATAGTCTATATATCAAGTGTTTGATTAGCAAGTTCATACGACTAAATATATTTACATTTTTACATAATATGCAGACACAATCATAACTTTGCTTAATCATTCTAAAAATATGCACAAATTAAAGATATGTTATACTATCAATGTTACGTTATTTTTAATTTTTCTTCAAACCGATGAAAAAATGAAATCATGCAATATCATACGATGAGTCAAACAAATTATTTCATAAATTGTAATACTTCAAATGATTTTTTAATTTTAAAACTTTGCTTTAAAAATGCATTAAAATTCATTTAATACTGGGTATTTTTCTGCATTAAAATTCATTTAATACAGGAAAAAATACTGGGTATTTTTAAAAGTTAATTTAATAAGGAAATCCTTGCATAATATGTTGAAGATAATCATTTCGTGACTTTGCTTCATTATTCTCAAAATTAGCATAAAGTAAAGAATATGTTATATAATACGTTGTTTCGAAAAATTGATTAACATGAAGTCATAAAAAGGAATTTTTTTATAACCACATTAGCAAACAATTTTATATATTAAGAATAATGCTTACTAATAAATTCATTATTTTCATTAAGATTTTCCTTTAAAAATATATTATTAATATGTTAAAGTTCATTTGGATAATAACTTTATAGGAATAATAAAAGCAAGTGTAATGTTTAAAATTTAATTTTTTTACATTTCTAATGAAAAATAATTTAAATATAAAGTAAGACGAGAGGAACGATGTAACTAAAAATTTATTCATAAGTGGATTCAAATAAAGTACATAACATAATATGCTGACGACAATTATGATATAACTTAGCTTCATTATTTTCAAGAGGACCACTAAGTACCAAAAATATGTAATAACAATCTTAAGTTGTTTTTTTTTCCAAAGTTTATTTTCATAACTAGTAACATAAAATCATTAATTTTAACCACACATCATTTTAAATTGTAGTACCTCGAAGTAACTTTCTCATTTTTCAATTTTAAGAATTTGCTTAAAAAATATATTATTAGTTGCGAACGAAAATATGAGGAAATAAAATTGGATGAACTGGGTCAATACATATATATATATAATAAATAAATACAAGAAAACCCGAAGAAAGTTAAGAAAAACAATAAGTTTCATTTATTGCGCATAAGCTGCAAGTAAACAGAATTCATTAGATAAGTTCAAAATGAAGATAGAACAAAGAAAAATTAGAGACATATGAAAAGGGGGGGAATAATAATTAAAAAAATAACAAACAACTGTTTAAAATATAAAAAAAATTTAAAAAAAGGATGAAATTTTATTTAAAAAAACGGAAAAAAGGATATAATCTTTAATTTTTGCGGATATAATCGTGTGGGCTGATGAAAAGATTACATCTTTTTTTTCCGGTTCTTTTAAATAAAATTTCATCCTTTTTTTTTTTAAACAGTTGTTTGTTATTTTTTTAATTATTATTCCCCCCCCCCTTTTTTTTTCATATGTCGATAATTTTTCTTTGTTTTATCTTCATTTTGAACTTATATATATATATATATTTAATTACTTAAATATAGCATATTCTTCTAATTTATCGTTTACTCTGATTTTACCTTTAAAACCAGTGGCATGTGGCCATAAAACGAATACTTCGAAATAATGTTGCCATTTTCAATTTAAAAATTTTGCTTTCAATTTTTTAATATATTATACTTCTATTTGGTCATTAATTTCATAGCATTACTTAAAATGTACTGTATGACATTTAAAATTTAATTTCAATCTTCTTAGAGAGAAAAAAATAACATTAAGTTGGATGTTAGGAGAAAAAAATGAAGAGATTTATTCTCGAAAGTGCATTAGAATAAAAATTCTTACATAATATGCAGTCGGCAATCATGGCATAACTTTTACTTCATTACGCTTAAAGTACGCAGTAAGTAAAAAATGTGTTATAACAATATTACGTCGTTTCTAAATTTAACTTCATAACTAGCATGCATGAAATCATAAAATTCTTCACAATGGTTTCATCTGAAAAAGACATATCCGTGAAATAAAAACTCCTGTTGAATGTATAATATTGGATTGACATTTCGTGATCTTCCCTCCCATTCATATTGTCGCAGAATGTCGGAATTTTTGTTTGCACAATGAGATGTTAAATTGAAGTATTCTTTTTGGAGGAAACTTCCAAAGAAGAGACCTCGGAAATATTATTGATGGCGCGTGGCGGTCAAAATAAAGTCGACGTCATCCAAAACAATAAATACTGCTGATGGCATGCATCTTCGCTCAGTTTATATCCTGAAAAGAATATGAATCGTTTTATTTTCTTCCTGGTGATCGTTGCAGTTGTTGGACTTGCCCGTAAGTAAATTATAATTTTTGTATGTATACAAAATGTATTCGTTATCTTTACCGGCATCGGTATAACTACGGGTGAAATTTTAAAGGACGGATTTATCATTCACCAATCATCAATGACTAATTTATAATTTCTGAGTATTAGGACTTTTCAGAAATTGATCCAAATAAAGCGCGAGATAATGTCCAAATTACGGTATTGTGGGGCATTATCAATTAACAATTAAATTCGTGCAATAAATAAATTGATTAATATTTAAATTTTTTTAATTAATTAATATTCGCTTATAGATGTGATAGAGCCGTAGTGGCTCAGGGGATAGAGCGCTTGCCTCCCAATGAAGTGAACCGGATTCGAATCCCTGTGATGGCTGGTCGATACGAATTCCGCACCTGGCTCACACCGACCACAGTGCTGACTTAAAATATCCTAAGTGCTAGACGAATCATGGGTTAGTTTGAGAAATAAAATTTTTGGAGAAATATGACGGCCGGTAATTTTTTTTATCCCTATCAGAATTTTTTTTTCGAATTTTGGCAGCAAAAAAATAAACGGGCGAACTCTATGAAACGGAACCAGTTGCTAATCCTAACCGCATCCAAATGATCCTGATCATGGGTTAAAGTCCCCTTGCTGTCAGGCTAATCTTAGGATGTTTTCCTCTTCTTGCAACGCAAATGTGTGTTAGTTCTATCAAAAAGTCCTCCACGAAGGCAAATTTCTCCCAATACTTAATCCAGGAGTTCCTTTGTCTCCTGGATTGAGTTCAAAATTGCAAGACTACGGAATTGAACATTGGTAGTCGTAAGCTCATAAATTGAATCGACTGTTCAGAGACGGTGATATAATAGTAAATGTGATAAGCTTAGTTACTTTCACTATTATTAATTAGTTTTTGAAACTCTTACAGTAGAAACCATTCATAACGAGCCCAGATTTCACGAGATTTCGTATTTAATGTGAGAGATGGATTGTTTTGTTTGATACAATATGATAGAAATGTATGAGAATGCATTCTCATAGCGAGTAATTTTTTCACTTTTCATAGGAAATATTTTTGGAAGCATGAAATAGTATCAAAAATTGTGGGGAAAAATCCCCCTAATAAACTATTAATTGTTTAAAAATTATTAAAATTATTTCCGTTCGTAATTATTGTAAAATATGTATCTATGTCACTGAAATATAGTTGAAAATTTTTTTAAAGTTATCGACGACAGTTGCAACCTTTTCAGAAAGGAAGAATGCCAATCAGGGTCAGTCCTGTCTCGAACTAATTTCGATACGGTTTGAATATCGTCGAAGAACCTGAATGGTTGCCGAAGCATTTACGATTTCAGAATTACTTGTAAGAAAAGCAGATTCCAAGCCCTTACCATTTCTAGAAACCATGGTTTTTTGTTCAGCTGTTTAAAATGTTGAAAAGACTATTTTTTTTTTTATCCGTGAAAGAAAAATTCGATATTCTAAAACTCTTAGATGAAGAAGAAATAAATGTTTCAATAAATAGTAAAATATGCGAAACGAAGAATTCGGATTTCGTGAGCGACAGGATTTAGCAAGCATTTTCTATTGCTCGAGTCCCTTGTTATATACGGATCTCTCTCTCTCCTACTGTATTATAAAAATAAATTCTAATACTAAATATTTTTTAAAAGAACAGCTACGTAACTACCTCAAAACTAAAAGGAACAAAATGATAAAATAAAATTTTAAAAATTGCATTTTTATAGTTGACTTAAGAGATTTTTGTCAGACCTACGTAAACGTAAAGCTGCATTACTTGATCAACAAACTTGTATTTCCCCCACTTTCTCGAAAGTGATGAGCCCTACGTTTTCATTCATTGTCTCACAAAAATGTAATTATTTCACCCTTTTAAATAGACTTGAAAAACATAATTTTAAATATTTATTTTATTTTGTTATACAATATATATATATAATGTCAATAATTAAACTTAATTTAAATGCACTGATGCATTTTCTAAGTACACTCTTGAGGTAGAATTTATTTACGACTTCAATTCAATAATTAGCAGCAATTATATTGTCTATATGAAGTCGTTATAACTACCTACTTCGTATTTCATATAAATTTGAATTAGAAAAATCAGCAATTTTTGGTTGATACAAGAAGCAAATTTTGAATGGTAAAAAACTTACCTTTTTCATCAGTTGAATATTAACTTTCATTTACAGTGAGTGGATTACAATTTTGCATCAAAAATGTCAAATATAGAATTTTTTTTGAGTATCAAAACTTCCGACAGTCATTGAATTTTCCAGATCTGACCTATTTTCTACTTAAAGGAACTTCTTTCACTCGTAAAACGATGTTTATATATTCCTCAATTTTTTTTTTAATATAAAATTTGTTCTTACTTGGGGAAAAGAAAATTCGTGAAAAATTTTATTCCTTTGTTTCTTACATAAATCTTCTGGCTAGTTTAGTAATTTGTTTACATACACAGGTTAGTGCACTGAATACTAAGTCAGATTGAAGAACAGATGGCATAAAACAAAAAAAGCATATCACATAAATACTGGATTACGGTGAGGTTCGAACCCGTTACCTCTATGCTTTTGAGCGTTTGGTTGAAGGGTGATACCAAACGGTAATAAAAACACATACAGCAATAGTTTATTATTAACTTTTGTCAAATTGAAGTAGGTAGATTGGTAGGTACGTTATTTACGTCACACTAGAGCTGCACAATGGGCTATTGGCCGCGATCTGGGAAAGATACCAAAGAATGATCCGAAGACATGCACAATTTCGATCCTCTGCAGAGGTGAAGGCTCTTCCGCTTTGGTAGGCCGATGACCTGCACGCGAAGTCGAGCACTTTACGCTAGAACAGTTTAACGAAGACCCTCGGTCCCTAAACAGGATAATCAAAGTGGCCATCCACCTGCTTACTGACCAAACCCAGTGATGCTTGACTTCGATGTCCTAGTGCGAATTGTGTCCCTACAATCAGTCCAGTGCGGGACGTCAAATTGAAGTAAAACTTTTAGAAGGGCGTCACAAAGATACGCACAGAGATAGTAAGAAAATCGAACCCGCTACCGATAAATTTATTTCAGCGAGTAACTCCCCACCCAAAAAAATATTCGTATTTTTTTTATAGTGGTCCCTCTATAGGAATAACAAGACCAAATGGGGGAGGATTCCAGTTTTTTCGCTCATCTAATTGAAATGCGAATAACTGGTGTGAATTCCGCTGCGGCGTAGTAAATTCACTTTGAGGTACGTTTCAAAACACATTTAATTTCTTCGTGTAATGTTTCGTTGAATTTTGTGGTACAATTTTGTGGTTGAATTTTGTGGTTAATCTTTAATTGTTCAGTCAATCAGCCCTATGCTCTTTAACACATGCAAAGTTTCCACTGGGATATTCTTGACCATCCACTTTACAATCCTGGTTTAGATTTTTTTGATTACCACTTGTAAAAACGCTTCTGCCTGAATTAAATATTCATTTGAAATGAACAGAGATGATTTAGTACCTTTGAAGATAATTTTTGATGAAGAGCTGAGATGATTTAGTTATAAATGCTTAAAGCACGAAGATTATTTTTTTAATGATTACGTGACGCGATTTCTCAAACACAATGGATGTTTTATTTTTTATTAATTTCAACAAATTTTGAATTCTGAGGTACGCAAATTTTTACATTATTTTAAGGTACGTAATTTTAAATAACAAAATATAAAATTTTAGCAAAATCGGTGGAATTGTTTCTGAGTTATCTAATATACCTACTTCACCTATTATACACTATTACACACTAATTATACATACCTATTCAATATACCTGCTTTTCAACATACCTACGCCACTTAACTAAGAGGAAAGGGATAAGCAAATTACCTATGTAGCTAACAGGAGAGAAAACTGTGTTTGAGTGATACTATAGTAAGAATTATTTTTTAAAAATCAGTAAAATACTTAATTTTGAAAGAAAAAAAAATTGTGTAATCATCGAAAGAAGATTCGCGATTTGCTTACTTTGCAGATTTTGCATAGATCATGCAAATTATTTTAAAGAATAATTCACTCAAAACATCTCTATAAGTCTCATTATGTTTTTAAAGAGATAGGTGAAAAAGAAGTTTAAAACCGAAAAGAAAACGATTTTGAACAATATTACTTATTAAATCGTTCGCAAAAAAAGAAAAAAAAATCGTGTTTTTTACTGGAAAGTATTTTTGAATTTTTTTAAAAAAAGCATATAAATCCGTTTTTTGAGTAACAAAATATTTTGATGGAATGGTTTGCGGTTTTTGCTGAATTTGAATACTAATTTTAGTGAATTTCTTACAAAAAAATTTTACAACTCTCTCATAAAAAAGTTGCATACTCTTCAAGATTAACTATTTGAAATAGCACTTGAGAGTTTTAAAAAATTCTTCAGGTTTTTGCTCAAGCATTTAAAGAAATAAAATTTACCAGTCGGCAGTTTTGAACAGGTAATACTGTTGTTTGTTTTCAGTTGCTTAACCTCCGGAAATTGATTTGAAAGACGCTGAAAGTTCAGTTTTTTTTTTTTTTTTTTTTCAACGTAAATTATGTAAAAACTAAGTTAAGTTTCAAAAATCTAAAATCAGGTACAAGTGTAAATACCAAATTACTTGCTGAATCTTATAATATCAGAATTTAATTGACATTTTATCAGAAAATTCCCAAAAGATTCTAGACTTATCTCTTCTATCCTGATCATCTTGTTTTTAAAAAAAACTGCCATGTAATAGAGTAAATATCAATAATCAGTTAATTTGTGAAAACTAAATAAAAATGATTCAGTTAACTCTGAGGGAAGATGCTTATTAATAGTTAGAAACAACTAATTAGCATGCTTTAAGTTATATTTTGGAATGAAATGATTGCATTCTAGTCATACCAATCAAAAATAATTCGTTGAGTTTTTTTATTTTATAATTAATTTAACGCTTATTTCTGCGAGGATTGCGGTTGTTTATGAACAATAAGATTAGCATGAACAATAAAATTTAATTTGACGGACATTAAATTATATTACTTCACAGAATAAATTTTACATATTTCGATATTAAAGCTACAGAATAAGAAAGAGTCATTAAAAAAAAAAAATCAGAAAAAATAATTTGCGTTTTGTCTAATTAATGCTTATTATTTTAAGAGGATTGTTGCAATTGTCTTAAAATAAGACTTGCTATTCTAATTTGGGGATTGCATAGTAAATAAAAAGAAAATGTGTTTATTTTTATGGAATTTTATGTGTCTAGAATATTTGAAAAAAGTTAAAACATTTTGCAAAACTAAAGGTGCTTATGGTCAACACTATCTTACAGGTGAACTTAGTATTAAACAGCCTGCGAAGAGACGAGAGTGCGCGGTATCGCCCTTGTTAAACTGTTCTACCGTTTAGAGCACGACTAACGAATATACATAGGGAAAGAACAACATTTAGGGGCATAGCATCAGAGATTCTTGACACGGGCTTGCACCCTCCAACAGCCACCCATCGTACATTTTTTCAAATTTCAATGTATCCACTGATAAGTAAATGTTCATTGTTTAAAATTTACTTTTTAGATGGTTGTTTCATAAAAGAGTGCAAAGGAAATTGCATACTGTCTTATCCCAACAACGGAGGATGTCCAACTTGCGAATGCAACATTCCACCCCCTCCACCTGGAGGAATGATGTGTTCTCCACCAAAATGCAAAGAAGATTGCGGCATCGACTATTCCACCGAACCGTGTCCCAGTTGCAAGTGTTAATAATTTTAAGTATCGATACTGATACCAGTATTCACGCGTTTAAGAGCTTAAAGTAAACCTCACAACTCGTAACGACTCTACCACATTTTATTGTCCAACTGTACAAGAAATATTATGAATAAAGTTATAAACTTCCAATTAAATCTCATTTTTGTTGGTTTCGTTTTCTTTACTTTATTAAATAAATTATAAAGCTGACTTGGGCAGGTGATGTTCAAAGTGGGGCACAAACTTAATATGTATAGCAAGTTGCCATAAATTTGATCCCGAGAGGGACAAAAATCTCTAAAGAGTAAGCAGTTAGTGCTGGTTAATATTGATTCTTAACCTTCAAGTGCTGATAATCCGGTTATAAGTGAGAAAAAATTATGTTTAATTGATATTTTGAATATACTGACACTCTGGATTAACCCATAAAAAATTTACTTCCTTCCATCAGCATTTGTAAAAGCTAAAACAGAAAATTAAAACAGAACTGATAACACCCAATTTTTCCAGCCAGAGAAGCTCTTATCTTGCATTTGAAAGATTTTCCAGCAATAGATTTTACAGTGGTCACTTTTTTCCAAAATCTAAAAGCCCTTAATTTCGGAGAGTCTACCGTCATTTATAAATAATTTACTCACGTTGTTTTTAACGACACTTGAACAAGCCAAAGTTCATCTGCCATTCACCTTGCGAATTAATTCAGGAAGGAGCAACCTCAAGAGCTACTTACAGGGTTCCCACTCTTTTATCAAAGTAAAAATTAAGCACTTTTAAGGACTTTTATCAAAAAAATTAAGGACTTTTTTTGTAGAAATTAAGGACCTTAAAAATGATTATTTATCATCAAATAAAACATCATAGATTAATAATAATAGATTAAAAAAATGGAATAGCTTTTCTTCAACTCAGTCATCCTTTAAAAAATTTAAAAAAAAACTAAATAAAGAAATGTTTAATACAAATAATCTGTATTTAATTAAGGTTAAATTGCATTTAATCACCTCACATAGAATATAAAGAAAAACTCAAAGAATTCAGATTAAACATTAAAATTTTCTATTTTACAAATAGAAAGAAATTGCGTAAACAGATAGAAATATATAAATTAAGATATTAAATTCATTAAATTAATAAAAATATTATTTTGAGTGACTAATACTAAACCAAGACAAAAAAAAACTAACAAATATAAGTTTGTTGAGGTTAAGACAATTATTTTAAACTAAGTAAAACCTAATTATAATAAGTTAAAGATTTATTAAAATCACAAAATATAAAAAATTTAATGATTAAAATCAGAATATATTCAGTACCTAACAATCAGCAAAAAAGAAATAAATAAACTACAAGGAAAACTTATTAATTAAAATTAAGAACTGAGAAACAGAAATGATAGTTAAAATAAGTGCTAACAGAAATATAGAAACACAGGATAAGGCAGGATGTAAGGATCAATTGAAATAAAAATGAAAAAGTTCCATATCTAAAAATTGAAAATGAAATGAAATAATTCATTAAGTACAAAATTTATTGTAAATGAAGGGAAAAAAACAACAAAACATAGTGGAATCAGAAACATCATTCATAAAAAAAGATGGAATCAGAATTTATCCTATTAAAAAGTATTGTGTCTTGTATAGATATTAAAGGAACTAAAATAATCGACGATAAAAAAAAATTGTTCGTAATAAAGTATTGTCTGAAGTTATAAAACAATAATTTGTCAAATAAATCAAAGGTAATGAAAATTGGATGCAAATATGGATTATATATATATATATACTATTACTTATTATAAAATAGGGAATAATGAATAGTGATTTGGTGGAATAGTCAAATATCTGGCCAAATAAAACGGCCACCTACCCAGTGATTAAATAACATTTAAAAAAAAAATCCTCAAGAATTTTTATTGTTTATGTAAAAATAGGCCTGGGCATTGTAAGAAATTTTATATCGTGATAGATCGTCAGTCAGACATCGCGATGTATCGCAATTTACATATGTTTGAAATTTATCAATGAGAGATCTTTAAATCAATCAAAAATAAATTTATAACAAAAGAAAATGTTTAATTTAAAAAAAAAATTGATTCTATAACATCAATAGCATTGCTTAATTTTTTCAATTAAAATAAAGATGGATTGACTTAAGACTGTCTTAAGGATTGACTTGCCTTAAAGTAAAAACAAACACAAGCTTTACTTTAATTTTTTTTAAAATTAAAAACGACTTAGATTTTTAAAAAATAATAATAAAACTGTTACAAAATATTTTACATACATTACAAATTTAAAAAAAAGGAAAATGACCACTTAAATAAAACATTTTTTAAATTATTCGCTGAAAAAAAAATGTGCTTTTGAAACATTGTTAGACTTTTGTAAATTACTTATTTAAAATAATAAAGTTGTATTGACTAATGGTCAAATGGTTTTAAAGTTAGTTTTTTTATTTATTTATTATTATTTTCCTTTCTGAAAATGAAATAGACTAAATATTTAAATGTTTAAAAATAATACTCACTATCTGACAAATTATTAAACGAACATGTATTGAAGGAATTTTTTAAAAAATATATATATATATTCTATATTTAAGTTGTTAGTTCTATTGTTAAATTATTGAAAAGCGTTAAAACATTGCTTAACTATTCATTTATTTTAAAAAAATTTAGTCATTTTAACTAACAACCAAATTAAAAAAAAAGAAAGAACACAAACTCTGTTTCAATTTCCACAAAAATAAAAGCAAATTAATTAAATGTAGGCTTTGTTCTAATTTTTTTAAACTAAAAGCGACTGAATATTTATTGGTTTAAAAACTAATCAAATGATTTTACTTAATAAACTAAACTCAATGGCGCGACAGCCCATAGAGGGCCAAGGCCTACTGTCCTCATCTCAGTTTTCTTAACCTTGGGCTCTGGGGAGCAACGTGAATTAAATAAATTTTTAAAAAAATTTACTTTTTATGACAAAATATAAATTACTTAAATGCAAAATATTAAATTGTATCACTTTTAAAAAAATCAATAAAGAATCTTTTTTTTAAATTCATGATTTCGTTTCAGTAATATATTAATTTCAGAACGAAAATTTAAGACAACAGCGATTGAGCAACGATCGCCAGCCAAGTAACAGTAGGTCTGCTGAAAATAATTGACAACGTTAAATCCAAACAGAAATAAAGTGATGAAATAATGCGCAACGATCGCTAAGTAGCAAAAGTCTCACTGAAAATAATTTACTTGAGACGTTACATTAAGTCGAAATAAAACGCACAGCGAACGCAAGATAAGGCCTTGTACACATGAGGGCGTTAGACGCCGCGTTGAGCGCTCGTTTGTCAAACGCGCGTTAGCCAAATACATGGAAACAAAAAACGCGCGCTTTGAATCAACGTCGCCAAAACGCGACGCTTGTAGTTTTCACTTCAACCGCTACGTTTGCAGCGCGCTTCGAGTTACTATACTGGGCATAAGTCCCGCTGAAAATAATCTTCAAGAAACGAAAAATCCCAAGGTCAAAAATGGCACATAAGGAAACTATGCATCGCGTTCTATATTTCAACGCTGATCCTCACTCTTCGTTATTCAATATCACGAAACGAACATCATCTTCGTAGCTAAAAATGTAATCAACATCTTCGCAGCTAGACGAAATCAAAATAGTCTTCGTCAGCGCGGTGATAGCGTTAGCATAGGCAAGAATCCTCGCACGTTAAACCGCGAGCGTCTTAAATCAGATTCCTGATGCATCGCCTAAAATAAAAGTAATTATATCGGCCTGCCGATATGTGCATTAAGTCGATAATTCGCGATACATCGATTTAAAAATGTCTAAGAGTAGCGCTCTTTAAAATTGCCGCATCATAACAAAAACAAGAGCTTTTTTTAAAAAAAAAAATGGGAAAGCCAAACGAAATAAAAACAAAAAATCGTTCTCATTTTTTATAAGAAAAATTTAACGTTGAAAAATACACTTTAAGTGCTTCCCATCCCCGGATTTTTAGAAAAAATGACAAAAAAGAAACTCTTTAAAATATGCTATCAAAATAAATAGAAAAAAAACGCAATTAATCAAAAAAAAAACAAAATAGAAACAGAAAATTTTCCTAAATTCTTAAGACAAAACTTGCAACGTAGAAAATCAATTTTCTATTTTACTGGTTATCTAATTATCTGTATAACTTTAAAAGAAAAAGTGGAGATAAAATATATCAGAAACGCTGTTAAAATGCCGCGCTATAAAATAAAAAAACCCAGCAAAAGTGAAAACAGAAAGCAAACATTTCACTCTTTAAAAAAAAAAAGTGTCGATGAGAAAACGACGAAAATGACTTTCCTGATTAGAAATATACTTCGCCGAATATTCGTAATATCCCTAATATTTAAAAAATGGAGTCATTTTTAAAATTCAATTTCAGAAGAAAATCAGATACAATGAAAAAAATCCACTTTGCCTTGCGACGATCACTAGATGCTGATCCATTCCTTATATTTTTCATCAAGTGTCCATAAATTATTAAAAACACACTTTCCTGGCATTTCTAACAATTTCGCATTTGAATGAAGTATCAAAGCTACCACGTGTGCTATCAGAAGAATGAATTTCTCGAACCCTATGGATGTAGAAGGTCAATGCAGGTCTTCAGCTGATAAAGTACCTCTAAGTAGTGTCTAAACATAAGTCAAGACCTCTACCTACCTGCAGTATCACGCTCCCCTCTCCATTCACTAAATTTTTTTCTTTCAGAGTGATCCAGAAAGAAATATTTTAATGAAACAATTAATAAAAGAAAAAAAACAATAAGGACATATTTTCTGCCACTTGCTTGTAACCCCTACCCTCACACGCATTCAAAATATTCTACCCTCAATGCAGGGTCTCATTCTAGGCGAAAGACCTACTTTTTAATTCTGGATATTTTCCTAAGATAAAAAAATTGTTCCAACCAACTAGTGATACTAGAAATTAAGGACTTTTAAGGACCATGAATCAAAATTAAGCACTTTTAAGGGCCCTTAATTTTCAAAATAAAAACTAAGCAGTTTTTAAGGACTTTTAAGGACCGTGGGAACCCTGTACTTAGCTCAGAATCTTCGGGATAGATGGCAGCACCATTCACCCGTGAAGCCACTTCCATAATTTAGGCATA